TAATATTTATATATATATAGTGGGTTCATACCTTTCCAGCAGTTCTTTGCCTGTAAGTGATGTGGCTTCCCTCCGTCTTATCAACAAATATGTTTTATGGCAACAGTTCTGATGAGCTATCTTCCCTGGTGCCCTGACTACATAAATTTAAGTGTGCTACTAGATTTCTATCTAGGTTTCACCCTTTTACTGTTGAAAAAGATACGTGCAACTACCGCTTCTACACCATCGATTTTTTTTTGTTTCTGGACATTGATACTGCAACGTCAATCGCCATCCTCTGTCGCCTTGACAGTTCTTCTTTTTATTTTTATTCCTCTGAATAAAGTCTTTTCCCTCAAAGTGGCACTCTTGCATGGGATGAAATGTTTTTAAAAAATACATATAACGGACCCAAGTTAAATGAAAACTTAAAAACTAGCCTTTAGACGATACATACATATAGTATGTGGTATCCCCAACCAGTTACCCATTTGACTAGGGTTGACATATCGTACGAGAACCGGTACTTCAACATAATGTCACCGTAATTCAAAACGCGGTAGCGTATCTTTTATGAAGAATCTGTTATAAAATGCATAAATGCCATAGCTACTATGGAATAGATAACGCGTATCCGTTTCATGTCATGGGTCAACCGATGAATCTTACATATCCTCACAATCTGCACTCCCCCCTGTCTTCTAGTAGGTCTATACAACAACCTACTTTAAGTACAATTTATCCTGAGCCACAACTTGGACATTGTACTGTGTGAACATTTATTACAAAAAAAGAAGTGCGTCTTGATAATGATATTCAATACACTATTACACATATAATGTGTTTACACATATAATTACACATATTACATATATAATTACACATATTACATATATAATTACACATATTACATACATAATCACACACTATTACACATATAATGTGTTTACATATATAATTACACATATTACATATATATTACATATTACATACATACACATTATAATAATGTGTTTACATATATTTACATATTACATATATAATTACACACTATTACACATATAATGTGTTTACACATATAATTACACATATTACATATATAATTACACATATTACATATATAATTACACACTATTACACATATAATGTGTTTACACATATAATTACACATATTACATATATAATTACACATACATTACACATACACATATAATTACATATAATTACATATACATATATAGTACACACTATACACATATAATGTGTTTACATATAATTACACATATTACATATATAATACATATACACTATTACACATATAATGTGTTTACATATAATTACACATATTACATATAATTACACATATATATTACATATATAATGTGTTTACACACATATACATATATAATTACACATATTACATATACAATTACACACTATTACACATATAATGTGTTTACCTTTTTATCGAAAATAAATTCAGTTATCAGTAGCGTGTCAAAGAGAAACACGGTAGATCTTGAACGAAATCTGGTCTTGATCACATATACTGCTTAACAATATACTTCAAATTCAGTAGCAATTTAGATAGCTTAATAGTGGCAAAATAACGGGGTAGATCGGGTCCTCTGTAGCCTTTGGTGGTAACCAGTCTAGAAGAACAGTTAAAAAAAACCTTGCTAAAGGCAAGAGAAAATCGCTGTACTATCACCACGTAGTCATGGTCATCCATGAATAATAATTAAAAGGAATTTGTGGAAATCAATGATCATCTACGTCTTGAATGGACATGGATTAAAAAAAAAGAATGCACAAAAGAAAGAAAAACGTTAACGGGAAATAAAGAAGATGGTGTAGAGAAAAGAAACAGGAGAAAAACACTGACAAAGAAAAAGAAAATTGATGTTTGTAAAGATTTGAACTGTATTTCTAGAATTGATGGAAAACTAATGGATGAGCAGAAACAGAACCGATAGAACGTGCGAGAAAAACGATATAATATTTACATTATTCATACTATTATCCTCATCTTTGTCGCCTTATTTATTACAACGTTTCGGGCGTTGTACGCTCCGGCCTTCTTCAGGTGGTTAGAATGTCGAACTGAACCCTTTATTTCGCTCACTGGGGTAGACTGTTCTAGTTCCACGGGCCATGTTTTAATTGATTAAGTTATCAGTTATCTCACGTTAATCCCCCTCTCTATGTTCTCCACTGACTTAACCGGGTATTCAACTCACACTCTTTGGATCATGTCACTGGATCTAACTAACGCTTTTATCCACTGCGTACAACGGCCGAAACGTTGTAATAAATATGGCAACCAAAATGAGGACAATAGTCCGAATAATGTAAATAGTGTACATAATACCGCATCTCAGAAATATAGACAGATACCAAAAGCGATATAGTTTCCTTTTTTTCTTTTACGTTTGTTCACGCAAAATAAGGCATAAGAGCCACTCAATATGAAGGATTACCGGCTGATATTTAACTCTAGATTTTAAAAGATTGACATTATTGTGATCGGGTAAGCATCCTCTCGGGCGTCAGTTCTACAAATACGGGTTTATGAGAAGAACCTCTCTGAATGGAAACACCTTTTTACAATAGAGTTGGCGTAGTTGACTCGTAGTTGTACAGATCGCAACACGCGAAACTATTCAATGGCTTACGACCATATGACGTCGAAACATCGGTTCCCGAACGATCAGCGAAGTTAAGCAACATCAGATCTAGTCAGTACCTGTACGAGTAACCACTTGGAATACAAGGTGTCGTAAGTTTGGATGTTCGGGTGGTGTAATGGATAACGACTCGGATTTGTAAATTAGAGAGCCGAGTTCTAACTCTAGTCGGGTTCGTTATATGGACTTACTAAATGTATGAATTTACTTCTCCTCATAACTATGGGTTGATTAGTAAGACATGTATTAGTAAACAATTATTATCTCAAACAAATTCTTACGACCAAAAAATATTTTCTGGTTTTAAATAACCAGCAGAAGACTGATAAGCTGTAAAAAACAAATAAAAGCTGCTGAATGTATCTCGTCAGAGCTTTTACCATGAAATGATAGAGAGAGTAGAGAGATAGAATTTAGTCAAACACCACGTGTGGGAGAGTGGTTATAGGCTGGAAAATAATCCCTCACTTAAAAGATCAGGTTGACGCTTCTTTGTTAAATCTGTAAAGTGAGAATTGAACGCCATAAATCCAGACGAGGCTGCCATACTCCATATTTGCTCTGATCTGGCAGAGCAAGTTAAGAGGAACAATAATTTGAATATGAAACTGTCCATACTACGAACCTCCTTAATGACGGGTCGTATATATGAGTTCCACTTGAGGTGGGGTTTGAACTTTAGTCTCAATAGACGTTTCAAGCTATTCATGACTGGAGTAATGTCATGGTCTGCTCGGAAATGATGGAATGCTAGTAGGTTGATTTTCGCAGGTACTTGAATATTAAAAGCCAGTTTTTCTCATATTTAGCTATTAGAGTTCGGTTACATGAGATATTAGTTGTCATGCTCCGGTCAACTAGATTTCTTGTAGACTCTTCGGAACTAGGACGATCAACTAATAAACAATTCCAGCGAGATCACACATAAGTAGACATATGACAGGGTGGGATGAATATTCCGCTAAGAACTGATCAAAAAAAAAAATTTATACCATACAAACAAATACTATAGCTATAAACCACAATCAGTTCTAGTGAATAATCTTGGATTTTAAGAGTGAAACATACCCCCAACAGCATCCGAGAAGAGATCTTGTAGCACACAAGGAAGAAAGAATGTTTTATATGGTGGATTTGAATAACCCCGTACAGTGAAGAATATAATTTGAAGAAAAGAGTGAAAGGTGTATAAGAATGGGAAACTCCCCAGAGAAATTACGAAGCTGTTAAACACAAATATGACATTCGTGCCGATCGTAGTTAGAGTTGATGTGTTAAGGGCATATCAAAATGTTTGACGAAATACTTTAGTCTCAATAGACGTTTCAAGCTATCTTGAGAGTATAACCATTCATGACTGGGGTAATGTCATGGTCTGCTTTGGGATGATGGAATGCTTGTAGGTTGATTTTCGGAGGTATTTGAATATTAAAAGCCAGTTTTTCTCATATTTAGCTGTTAGAGTTCGGTTATATGAGATATTAGTTGTCATACTCCGGTCAACTTGCAAACTGTTCGGAACTAGGACGATCAGTTAATAAACAATTCCAGCGAGATCACAAATAAGTAGACATATAAGAGGGTCGAATGAATCCAAAGAAGCAATGTTATCAGTCCTACTTGGATATTTCGGTTTCACTTTTTTTCTCATTGCCGTAACGTAGCTTCCCCGTGTCTTTTGTATAAATACTTTCAGGTTAATTTTTCTGGTGAACTTTCTTCTATAGAGACTTTGATGTATTATGGTAGATGTAGTATCATTGGTAAGTAAAAATGTGTTGTTTGGGTGCAAGTTTATACTGTGGTATGTTTGAGCCGGTAATCGTGGCTAAGTAAGTTTAAGATAAAGCAGGTTGAAGACCAGCCTTCCCATATGCCCTCCTTTTGACCTTGTGCCACAATTTTGTATTATAAGAAAATAAATATTACTTTCCTCTATGGTACGTAGACTTTATAAACCTAAGCACAATAACAGATTGGCGGCACAGTGTCATCAATTTACAGTTGAAAGCGATTGCGAAAGTTCGAGGCTAACGGTTTCTTCTATGCAAGTTCAAGTTTGTGGAGGAATATTTTCGGTTTAATGATTCCTTGTAAATTTTGATTTTCAAAAATTTAAATACAATGTCAATTGTTATCTTCGTTCTTCGTAATTCTTATTCTTTTATTGTTCTCTCTCCTTAATAGAAGTTTTTCTCATATTCTCTAACACGTAGTAACCTCTTGCGTCCTAGTGACATTATTATGTTGCTTGGGGTGAAATGATTCAAGAAAAGAAAAGAAAATGAAATGTGAATGTGAGCCAAAAAAATCTGTAAACAAGGAGAATACTCAGGAGAGTTCTGGAGTGAAATAAAGAATGTTCAAGAGGTAATCGACTACGCGTAAGAAAGAAAGTGAAAAGTAAAAAAGAAAGTGAAAAGTAAAAGTGAAAGAGAAAGTAAGAAAGAAAGTGAAAAGTAAAAGTGAAAGAGAAAGTAAGAAAGAAAGTGAAAAGTAAAAGTGAAAGAGAAAGTAAAAAAAAAAGTGAAAAGTAAAAGTGAAAGAGAAAGTAAGAAAGAAAGTGAAAAGTAAAAGTGAAAGAGAAAGTAAGAAAGAAAGTGAAAAGTAAAAGTGAAAGAGAAAGTAAAAAAAAGAAAGTGAAAAGTAAAAGAAAAGAAAGTAAGAAAGAAAGTGAAAAGTAAAAAGTGAAAGAGAAAGTAAGAAAGAAAGTGAAAAGTAAAAAAGTGAAAGAGAATGTAAGAAAGAAAGTGAAAAGTAAAAAGTGAAAAGAAAGAAGAAAGAAAGTGAAAAGTAAAAGTGAAAGAGCAAGTAAGAAAGAAAGTGAAAAGTAAAAGTGAAAGAGAAAGTAAGAAAGAAAGTGAAAAGTAAAAGTGAAAGAGAAAGTAAGAAAGAAAGTGAAAAGTAAAAGTGAAAGAGAAAAACACAACTCGAAAAGTGGTAAATAAGAAAATAAATAAGAAAAAGGAATGAAAAGAAGAAAGAAGAAAAAAAGAGTCAAGAAGAAGAAGGAGAAGAGGAAGAAAAAGAAATAAAATGAAGAAAGGAGAAGAAAAAAAAGAAGAAAAAAAACGAAGAAGAAGAAGAAGGAGGAGGAGGAGAAGAAGAAGAATAACAATAACAACAAAACCAAGAAGAACAAGAAGAAAACAAATGTGAGAAAGAAAATATTGACGTCGAATGATTCAAAAAATTGAGAGGACGGGGGAAATATTATTGTTTCTTCAATTGATGCTTTCTTGTGAAGAGTTTGGCCAGAATTCTGGCATTGCTCCAAAAAGACCAGAGACTTTGTCACTTTGTCGGTGGGTTTAATGGCGGCCAGAACGGGAGTCCCTCTTGCTGTATTGATAGATGAAATTGCTGGAATGTGCGTGACGTGTTTTTGGGAATGTGAGGGACCCCGGATGACACGAACAACAAATAATTTTGGACTTCAACCAGTAGCCTTATTAAACGCTCTTGAAAAAAAAAAAAAAAAAAAAAAAAAAAAAAGAAAAAAAAAAAATATCAGTGTGATCGGTGTTGGGATGGTTTGATGCTGGGTCAGAGCATCTTAGTGTTGCGACAAACTGACACCTGCCTTCTTATGCGATATTACAAAACAATTATTCTAAATGCTGCTTCAAAACACCCCGCCAGCCCGGCCCGTCATATGACTGGCAGCGACTTGGCCCGAAAGACGAGCGATTATATTTTCCTACGTTTATATATACACAGACACATAATCGGGAAGATATTCGAGGAATTCACCTCTGTCTTGGAGTGGGTCAGGCAAGAATTTTTCATGAGGAATAATAACTTGGCTGACTTTGGCAGCAACGCTGCCAATATGGAACCATCAAAATAACTTTAATTTCAGAACTGTATTCTTCCTCCTCTTGAAGGTTAATTTATTTTCCCCACTTTCTTTCCCTCGCTTTTTTTCCTTTCATATTTCTCCTGTGACGGCAATACAAATTTTTCAGCGGCTAAACCTTGGCTCTCAGGATTAATCGTCATCGAAGCGATACATAGAATATTAGAGAAAATAACTTCGACATTTTTGAGGATACATATTTTAATATAGAGTATTGCATATTTTTCAATAACTACGATTGAAAATTAACCGTCAGTCTGTTTTAGATGGTGGAATTTAGTTAGAACCGTATAGTATAAAAAGTGCAGTTCACACACACACACACACACACACACACACACACACACATATATATATATATATATATATATATATATATATATATATATATATATATATATATATATATATGGGTAAATTGTATGACAAAAAGTGAAAAAAGTTTACTTGAGTCGCATTTCGCCCTTCGGACTTCATCTTCCACCGGCGTATGAACAAAGGGTGCTGGGGATTTTAGAATTTTTATTTTTGATTTAGTCGAATTCCTTAGGCGTATTTTTTCTTACAAACAATAAAATAAGCGTTCTCCGCCAGGATTCGAAACTCATTCTCCCTAGTTAGATCCGACGTGTGCTAAACCGACTCAGAACTTAGAGTGAGTGACCGACCTGGCACAGCCGAATCCATTGTTTCTTTAGAAATTGCTTTGTTTGTACACGTATACGATATTGAGCATATCTGAATTTTCGAGAATCCGATAAGGATTTACATTTATAAGGCAGCATTCGGATTTGATAAGACATTTTCTAGACAAAGACAGCATTTTTAATATGTGGCAAGTATTTCTGGGAAGTATATGTGAAATCTATTTCTGTATATATGAAATAAAATAAAATAAACAGTTCGATTATCGATTATGTATAGGTAATGGTATTATTAGGCATATTCGGAATTCATTGAACGAATTTCCACTATCGCTGTTCGTTGAAATTTTTTTAAATATCTCTCGTTTAAAACAATTTTTCAGAAAAGGTTTTCTTAATCCCAGTTAACGCTCTTTACAAAAGTGATGGTATTTTTCTTCCTAACCTTTTTTTTCAAAGTAGGGTGAAATATCAACATTTTTAAATTATTTTTTCTATTACTGCTGTTGGTAGTCCTCAAGTAATGTCATTTCTGTTATTTGTTACCGTTATTCGTTTTGGATTCTGTAGCGACAGTACAAAATGGTCAAATAAATTTGGCCATCGCCAGGATCCACAGGCTTCGATTGCTCAAAGACATTTTTAATCATTGATCGTTAAATGCGGCTTTATTCTTCTGACTCTTTAGATATTCCTGAACGGGTTTGGCGACAAGCGTATCAACCATGTGAACCATTTTTAAGCTATTTGCAAATATACCTACATATTACAGTAATATATATATATATATATATATATATATATATATATATATATATATATATATATTATAAGTGATTATAATAAAACCATTTAAAATCGCTACACAAAAGCTTTCATATTTCAATACTGTAATTGTACTTCTTCAGGAGATGGCAAGTGACTGGATATTAAATGATTTTTAAGGAAATTTAAAAATAAAAGATTACCGAAAGTAAGGTCAGAATTAAAAATAGACTGGTGGTTATAGTTAACCAATCAAGTATCAGATTCACGCCAAATAGAAAAGCAATCTAAGAGGGAGCACAAGGTGAGTTATTTTTTCATGCTTCTTATAATAAAAATATAACAATAATATATTGTTCTACTTTGTATTGAGCACTTTTAAAAAAGTTAATGCTTCGAACAATGGATTGTTACTCCATCTGAACTTTCTCTCATTTGTGTATATATATATATATATATATATATATATATATATATATATATATATATATATATATAATAAACAATAAATCCAAAATCACCTCATATGGGGAATAGCCAATTTCTAAATGACGAAATAGGCTATTCTCCATATGAGGTGATTTTGGATTTGATTGTTTATTAAGTATTTATTCTGTACTAATACATGCATTGAGCTTTCTATGTGGATCAGTTTTAATATTTGATATTACTTGGATTATATACGAACGGAATTGTTACCTTTACTATAACAGACTCTCCTGTCGTTTTTTAAATAATTTATTCAGTTATTAAATTTTGTGTGATAATCTTAAGTAGCACTTAACACCCGTAAGTGATTTGCAAAGAAGGCTGCATATGAAGCAAGACTGAGGATTGTGGGATGACGTAAGTGTTAGATTGGCTGACCTTTTAGATCTTGCTCTCGCTTCTTGAAGACGATTCAGACTAGCAGAATGAAAACTGCTGAGTCCACTAAAAAGTATTACATATATATATATATATATATATATATATATATATATATATATATATATATATAAAAAGACACAAAAAGCCGAAAGAAATTTCTTAGCATAGAACATCTAGCACCTTCAACCATAAAATCATGGGACCATGCTACCAATCTAGTACTTTGCTGAAATTACCACAAAAATAATTATAGAAAAGGCACCGGGAAGGTATGGCAGTGGGAACGTACGACGGTAGGAATGCGACTGAAGCCGAGATGCCACATCAGAACAAGTAACATTGCAGATTCTTCTTTGGATTTTATCAAGATTCTATATATACATAGCAGAAGCGCCAGACCAGATGTGACAGCAATATTCAATGCATGTAGATATTTTAGACTTATAAATGTTTAAGATGGATTCCATCGAGACAAATTGCATAAAAATTAAAGATATAGATGCAGTGTTCATAACAAATCCCAACGAAAGAAGGATTAGAGAATGTAACACTCACATGACATATCAAAGGTAAGTGAAGTAAAATAATAAGTATTATACCTACTTGAAAAGTTTGACCCATTAGATGGAGGAATTAGCGCCAGAAGGCAGAAGCATGTATTTCCTCATAATCATTAAGATTATTTATTTCAAGTGATATAGCAAATGTAGAGAGAGAAAAAGAAAAAGACAAAATCACACAGAAAGAAAGCGTAATAATTATATTCCGACTGATTGGATGAGCATGGAATTTGGTTCGAGAAGACGGAAAAAGGCATCAAGAGACAAAACGGCCCAATGTTCACATTTGAGCTTACTATAATTCTTAGTACTTTGAGCCACCATAGTAATTGCAGTTTAGAAGTACTGTGCTTTGTTTGCTCGTTATATAATATCTCGTTATGTCTATTGTCTAGCTAGAGTAAATATAGTGCTTTCAATTTAGTATGAATATTTTGTTGGTGTACAAAACTTGATGAGATATTCGAAAAATCAGACCAGAATTGATAGAGAAATAAAAAAAAAAAAGAAACGAAAGATCACTTCCGTTAAATTTTGTTACCATGTTTAATAACACTGTCTTGTCAATAGCACTTGTATTAATTCCAGGTTAATGACTATCCGTTATTGTATTTTGTTTGTTTGTTTTATTATTTTATTTGGTGTACGGTGGAGTAATAGATAGCGTCTCCGATTGAGGAATCGGAGAGCCGAGTTCGAATTCCAGTCGAATCCATTACATAGACTTACGTGCTAATAACCTTGAGAAAGGTATGTATCCTCTTCTTCTCCCTTCAGCTATGGGTAAATAGCAGGACAGACCGGGTTTTATAGTGTTTAGAAGGCAACTAGTCTACCGCAGAAAGAAATGGCTACCTACTGCGGGAAAAAGAAATCTGCCTCGTCAGTTATATATCGAAAGATACATGATCGTCTAAGCGTGTAGCATGCATGGCTGATGGTGGCCGTTAAAAATTAAGTATAATTCGAGCCTTCAATGGATAGATAAAACTATTTAATTACAACTACAAATAATTACTTAACAATAACAAAGAAGTCGACCAAATATAATTAACTATTTCAGTGAATACCTTGTTAGTCGCGCGGTTTGGTTTAACGTCCAGTAATTCTTAAATCAAAACCCAAATAATCGACGCACAATAATTCACACTAATTCGACTGGATAGTTCCACTCAATAGTCACTCAATAATCACTGCAGTCACTAGCCTGACACCGCTATTTATACACCTGGCGGAAACATATATTCATAAGTCCAGAGTGTTACGATTGAACCTCGGAGTCGGTAGTTATTCATTTTCTTTCTATATGACAATTATTCGCAATGAATTTCTCTAAAATTACCAGCAAGGGATATCCCCGTTTTGACAGTAATGCTTATATTCATTCCTGAACAAAAATGAACAGTTACTAACAAAAGACATTTGAAATATTCATGAAACACCTTGAGAATAGAAGGCATTGAGAACTTAATATCCATATGGCATGTAAAAGGCAAACGAATCAAAACGTTTAGTGTGGAACTAATTCGGAAAAAGATTTAGCAAACGATTGGAGAAATAAGTAGCAGAGGCAGAAAAAGGATTCGTAGAGAAGCAAGCATTTTTGAAAGCCCGTCGTCATATACGTCAAGAAAAATAGCATTTTTAAAAAAAAATCATTTGACCCCAAATAAGGAGGGAATCCTGCTAGTGAGAGAGTGAAAGTGAAAGAGAAGTCTCTGAGAATAGGAAGGATTGAGGGAAGAACAAAAGATGAAAGAGATGCAAGAATACAGAAGATGGCGATTGATGCTGTATTCCATTTAATTCCTTGAAGATTGTAGTTATCAAGGAAACAAGTAACCGGAAGGGAATCCCACAGAAGTGATGGTTGCATTTAGCTATTTTAACCGTAAAATGATGGAACCTGGACGCCAATCTAGTAGCACGCTTAAAGTCATGTAGTCGAGGCACTAGTGAAAAAATGTAGAGCAGTTTTCATTAAAATATCTGTAGAAATGACAGAGAGAAGCGCCGTCACGTCAGTGAGAAAGTGACTGAAGTCGAGATGCCAAGACAGGATCGATTACATTGCAGATTCTTCTTTGAAAATTGTCAAGAATCTCGAGATAAATAACAGAAGAAACAAGTAATATTTGTATTAATTCTTGAACACTGACTGTCCATTAGCACCTAGAACGGAACAATTGCTAACAATCGGGAAGAGACAGTTCAAATATTTATGACACACAGCGAGAATAGAAAGCTTGGAGAAATTATTTTCCATATGGAATCTCAAAGGCAAGTGAAGCAAAATTCACTATGGAACCTACATGATACATTTTGAGAAAATGGTGGGAGAAATAAGTAGCAAAGAGAGAAAAGGAAATTGTTAAGCGGCAAGTGTTTCTGAAAAATTGGTTGCAGTTAATTTCTTCTTGTTGCAAATTAACTTCCCTGTGACTTTTCTATCAATAATTACATGGTACTTGTTCTGATGAACATTCCATTTTCGTTTGTAGACTGTAGGAATTTAAGTGCAATTCTAAATTGGCGACAGTGTCTCATATTTACAGTTGAAATGTCTAGATGTAACTGTAAGTTCTATGCTAACAGTTTCTTCTCTCATACTTCTCACTTGTGGAACTCTCTCTCTCAGCTTCTTGCTTCTCAGTCAACTGTAATCTTAAAAAAATTAAATGCAACATCAGTCGTTATCTTCGTCTTCATAATCCATCTGCGTTTCTTGTTTTCTCTCTTTAATAATATATTTCTTTTTCTTATATTGTCTGACATTCAGTAACTTCTTGCGTCTTAGTGGCTTATTGCCTTTCTTGGAGTTCCATGATTTTTTTTTAAAACCCATGTTTATTCACTTCAAAATTAGTAGCATAGGGACTGAGAATGAGTGTGGGAGAAAGAGAGAAAACTAACTTAATCTCAATTCTCGTCTTATTCTATTCCCATCGCAATAAATTGATCTTTTCACAGTACAAAAAAAACAACAACAAAAAAAACAAACCAACAACAAAAAAAACAAACATTTGACCGAGTGTATTTTGAAATCTTTATAGTATTGTACCTCAGATACCAAATATAATACTTGACCCTTTGCCTGTGCAGGGCATTTTCCTGTGTACTATCCAAACGTTCATTCTTGTTTTCAGATTCATAATTATTACAAGGCAACTCAGCATATTTTGCAAATAGAATGTGCTGATATATAGTGTTTCACATAATAAAAACCTGTGCATCACGTGATACACAGAACTTACAAATCATAAGTTATTTACACTACAATCTGTGCATCACATGTGAATCAAAGGTTATAATCATTTCAATAAAGTGGATAAATAGATGTCTTTCATTTGAGACGTTACATTATCAGTTGAGCGTCCTGTAGTCATATAGGATGCACAAAATATTACATTAAGCCTTTCATCAGACGCCATGCTCAATAGTAGACTCTTTTCTTAAGCGTCCTTAGTTTTACCCGCCCCCCTTTAAAATCATGGTTCGTGTGCACCACATATGATGTACGGACGGGGAAATCACGTCCTGTGCATCACATAGGATCCACGGAACAGGCCAAGTGTTAAAATAAAGAAAAAAATCATTATTCATTAAAGTTACTGTGTGTTTAATTTTTGGCAAGTTCCTAAAAAACTACCATTCTGACATAAAGAAAAATAAAACTGCCAGTCGGCCACGTTTAAAAAAATAATTGTCTGAATTTCTAGGTTGAGTAGTTATCATTATTACACTATTTATATTCAGACTATGCGAATCTCATTAGTAAACCTAGCATAGTAATAAATACAATATTGGAGCTGATAATAAAGAAAGACAAATGACAGCATGTGTTCAACCGCAGCAGGAATCAAAACATGGGACGGAGCAGCAGTCGTTGCAACCTAATCAGCCGCCAGGTTAGGTTTAAGGCTCTAAGTTAATTGTAGCAAATTGTCCGACATGTCACTGTCCTAGTGGCTAAAGACGTTGGCTTTTGAGTTTGGTGACATAGTGGTTCTGAGTTCAATTCCCGTTTCGGGCAGTGTATACTTGCACTCAGTGGAAACGAGCGAGATGGACAGTGTTAAATAAAAACCTAGACGATATCCATAGGCATGAGTAGTGGAACGAGAAGAGTCTAAAACTGTAGATTAAATAAAGTGTTCAGTTCAGAATTCCCTGTACGTTAGCCACAACGATATATGCCTGGGGAAGAGGGTAGATTAAATAAAGGCTTCAATTCAGAATTTCCTGCAGGTTAACCAAATCAATATACACCTGAGGAAGAGGAGAGATTAAGTAAAGGCTTCAGTTTATAATTCCCTGTAGGTTACCCACATCGAAATAGACCTGAAAAAGTGGGTATAATGCTCGGACAGGGAAATCACTTGTCCTGATCATCACATATAATACACGGGGAATTTTAAAAGATATTTTTAGTAAAAAAAAAGTGCGCCCTATATGCCGTCAAATACGGTAATTGAGAGAGATAGATAGATAGATAGATAGATAGATAGATAGATAATGAGCTGAGATAGATAGATAGATAGATAGATAGATAATGATCTGACATAGATAATAAACTGAGATAGATAGATAGTTAGATAGATAGATAATGAGCTGAGATAGATAGATAATGATCTGACATAGATAGATAATGAGCTGACATAGATAGATAGATAGATAGATAGATAGATAGATAAGGAGCTTAGATAGATATATAATGTACTGAGATAGATAAATAGATAATGAGCTGACATAGATAGATAGATAGATAGATAGATAGATAGATAATGAGATGAGATAGATAATAAAGCTGACATAGATAATAAACTGAGATAGATAGATAGATGATAGATAGATAATGAGCTGAGATAGATAATGTACTGAGATAGATAGATAGATAGATAGATAGATAGATAGATAGATAGATAGATAGATGTTAAGGGTTCAGTAGGTTACCCAGATCGATATACTCCTGAGGGCGGTCTGAGAGCACATAACATAAATAATGTAAATAATTTTCTAATTATTCATAAGTGCTTGATGGAATGTGTGCAGTGATGCGTTCATCGAAAGAAATATACCTTCATTTCTAATTAATTAATTTGTAATGTCATCAGGACCAATGACGATATTCTTTTGTATCACATGTTTTCCCTTCACAACTTTAACGGACATGGCTCTTCACATTTTCCTTCGTAGCAGTTAGTAAGGTTTGTATTTTTTACCATTCCCCCCCATCAATCTTCTCCCATCCATTTAAACGAGATTAATAGTTATGGCTACACGCTATTTCCCGTCTGTACCCTTTACTTTAACAGTGAGTGTGAAATTCTCCACGTCCTCTTTCCTCGTCATGTGTCCGAGAAATTTTAACTGTCTCTTTATGATACTAAACATAAGTTTCATTTTTATTTCCATTTTTCTTCAAACTTCCCAGTTCCTAGTATTCTCAGCATCCTTCTGGAGAAACACATTTCTGTTGACTCAAGTCTCTTATATATCTACGGGGAAATTGTCCAGTATTGACTGTCATATAGGAGTATTGATATTACGTAAGAGTTTAGCCCTGTTTCAAACGAAATTTTCAGACATCTTAATATTTGATTAGCTTTTTGAAAGCTATGCCACTAGACCATTGCTTTTCGTTGTCATATTTTCCGTCTTCTGTTAAAACACTTCCTAAACATTTAAGTTTTCATACTTGCTTGTTTTTTTTCCATCTCTAATTCGTACTTCATAATTTGATCTGTTCTTCTTAAAAATAAAATTAAGGTTTAGTTCTTTCTTCTCACTTACTTTTACTAGATTCTGTAGAAATTCCTGCAGTTTTATTTTTGTGTCATCTGTCAACAGTTTCTGCAACCGACGACCTCATTGCAATACCTGAAGCATGACCCAATCACAACTATCTTTGGATTTCTAAATGTTTGATTCAGAGCCGGATTTCTTCACTGGTGTTTGAAATCCCCTGGTCAGAGGATTGGAAGAGAGAATAAAATAAATGCTTAATGGAGACAGATTATTTATTAGTTTGTTTTCATTCTTTTATTTATTTGCATTATTTGAAACGTTAAAAAAATTATCATTCATTAGTTACTCGTTGTCTAAAATTTTGATCCTGACTAAAATAAGCGCAGTAAATCTCCCAGGGGACTATAATCTTTACTCGAATCAAGGAACAGACTTAATCCAGTTTCTTTATCCTCATAATCTTCACTTCCTCCAAACTTTTCTTTCATAAATATCATCTTGGGGTCACGTCACAGGTTCTCGTACGATCACGGAATTAAACAACATCAAGACTGGTAGGTGCGTAGATTATTGACCGCTTGCGGGTACCGGGTGGTGTGAACCTGGATGGGTGGGAATGTAACAGATGACTGTTCCGAATTGGAAATCGGAGAGCCGAGTTCCAATTCAGTAGAGTTCGTTATATTCACCGATACGCAAATGCCATTGGGAAAGCTATGAAGGTTTTCCTCACGGCTATGGGTTAATTAGTAATGTTTAATGTAAATTATTATTATTTCCCCCAATAATTTACATTCTAAAAATATTCTTCTGGCTTTAAATAACCTGCATAAAGTAGACAATCCGTAAAAATAGTCAATCAATAAATAAATATCACACACAACATACGTCATTACCATTCAAACCGTATCACTCTATCTTAATGGTTCTCGTGCCTGGTATTGTGTGTATTTATTACGTTTATTTGTTTGTAAAACCTTATATATATATATATATATATATATATATATATATATATATAGATAGATAGATAGATAGATAGATAGAGAAAGAGAGAGAGAGAGAAAGAGAGATAAGTACCGTATTTGACGGCATATAAGACGCACCCCAATTTTAGCAGAGCAAAACAAGAAGAAATAGTAATTATTAAAATTAGTAAACCTACATATGCCATATGAGTCGCAAGGGAATTTTAAAAGATATTTTATATGCCATCAAATAGATAGATAGATAGATAGATAGATAGATAGATAGATAGATAATGAGCTGACATAGATAGATAGATAGATAGATAGATAGATAGATAGATAGATAGATAGATAATGGGCAGTGATAGATAGATAGAAAATGGGCAGTGATAGATAGATAGATAGATAGATAGATAGATAGATAGATAGATAGATGGTAAGTTTTTATTTACTTCCTCTTGCGTATGGTTTGGCTATTCCGTATTTAAGACGGAGAAACGACACCAGAAAGAAGGACATATTTTCCGAAATCTTAGCTGTCGTAAGGATTTACCTTGATCCCAATGTCAGCATCTCAGGACAATGCTTTTCTCGATGAACTACTGCAAGTGCACAGAGTGATATGTGTATAAATAAATATATAATTTTATCGAAGCTGAGTTCTCTGCGCGGACTCACCTTTTATATTCAGCGTACAATCAAAAAATAGTGTGCCCTTCCGAAATGCTAAAAAAACAAACTACAAAACAAAAATCAAACTTGAAAATGCAGTTAAAATTTAAAAAAAAAAACCCTATTATAGATTGTTGCCATTGCTGTTTTATATGGAAATATTCCAATATAGATTTTTTTTCTATAGTAATAGTTTTCACACGAGTAGGGTTCCAAAGGAGAGCAACTCTGCTAAATAGCCCAGAACTCTCTTCTGTATTTTAATGAACTTTACCAACACTATCACATTTGTGGTTTCAATTCAACACTTGATGTCTACTTCATCGTGCCTTTTCTAAATTCTTCAGAGTCTTTTCTTGTGCACCGAAAAAATGTGTACAACTGTCGCACGTGCTACACAGACATGACAGAATTGAATAGACACCAAGATAAATTTTATTTCAGATTTTTTTAATAACCAAGATAAATTAACTTAGATTATTTGCTTAAAATTGCAGATAATAATACTGGAACATGCCACGAACCAAAGGAGCATCAGACCTATCCGAATTTCAGCGAGGACGTATCGTGGGACAACATGAAGGTGGTGTTAGTCAAAGAAAAATATCTGAAAATCTTCCAATACCCCGTTAATAGAGTGATCGTACAATTCACCAGAGAGGGCAAGAAGTGCACAAAACCTCATCCAGGCCGCCCAAGACCCTCTGAAAGAACCATGCGTCTTGTCGAAAGAAATGTTGTAGAGGATCCACGTTGCATGGCCTCTGACATAGCAACACAAGTTGAAGTCAGTCTCAGAACAGCTGTCAGGTATCTTTACAAGCTGGGCTACTATGGCAGAGCTGCGAGAAGGAAACCACTTCTCCGTCCAGCCAATATCAAACGCAGAAAGGGCTCAAGATTCGCATTATTTTCTGACAGTGGAAGAGTATGGGTATGGAGACTCTGTAGTCAAGAGTTTGATTTAAAAAGACTGCAGCCAACAGTGAAACATGGGGGCCTTTCAGTAATGGTATGGTGTGCAATTTGGAATGATGGTCGCTCAGAGCTTATGGAGTGTGAAGGAAACATTAATTCAACCAAATATGTTTCTATATTAAATAAAGGGCTCCTTCCAATATTCTCAAGTAGTAGAATGAGCAAAGTTGACTCCCTATTTATGGAAGATGGAGCTCCATGTCACACTGCTCAAGCAACGCAATATTGTACAGTATTTACATTATTCGGACTATTGTCCTCGTCTTTTTCGCCATAATTGTCACAACGTTTCGGCCGTTGTACGCTCCGGCCTTCTTCAGGTGGTTGGAATTTCGAACTGAACCCTTTATTTCGATCACTGCCGCAATATTGGTTGAGACAAAATGGGATCAATAAACTTCCATGGCCAAGTCAGTCCCCGGATATTAACCCAACTGAACACCTTTGGGGCATATTAGATCGAAAACTCCGCAAAAAGAACAGGAAGACATCTTTTAAGCCCGAACTTTTAGGATTATTGCGTCAAACATAGCAAGAAATCCCTCAAGATGATATTCGTGAACTCATCGCTAGCATGCCAAGAAGGGTCCTTGCATTAAAAAAAGCAAAAGGGATGTCAACCAAGTATTAGTTATTAAATTTATGATCATTTATAATTATTTCATTTGTATAAATTACTTGTTTAATAAAATAAACGGTTTCTATTAGCGTCTATTCAATTCTATCATGTCTTTGTATATTTCCTCAAATAATCACACACTCTGATGCAACACCGGCACTGCTGTTGTGGCTTCATATCTCATTGGATTGGATTTGGATATAATTTGTGCTGTGCTGGATGCGACGATAAACAGCATCCCTTAACAAGAAAGGGATGTTTTTGAGGAACATGTTGTTCCCATGTCCACCCTGATCCGGGGTGGTTGCAACTGTTCGAGGGCCAGCAATAGGCAAATAGATAAACACTACAAAAGTATAAAAAAAAATGTATAGTAAATACACCAGCTGGCATCTCGTCTACAGTCACTCTCTCACAGACGCGACGTCGCCTCTCTCTGTCTTTTCTACAAATACTTTCATGGTAATTGCTCCGATGAGCTGCTTTCACTGGTTCCCAGACTCCATGAATTCAAGCGCCCTACGAGGCTGGCATCCCGCTCTCACCCTTACACTGTAGAAACTTTTAAATGTAGCCGTCTCTTCTACTCCAATAGCTTCATACCTCGCACCTCTCGCCTGTGGAACACCTTTCCCAACTACTGTTTCCCTGAGAGCTATAATCTCCAACTATTCAAATGTAATGTCAATCGACACCTCCAGTTATCTTGATCTACCCACTATCCTTCTCCTCATCCTTTCTTCTATCACTCCTATCTGCTCTTGCTCCAAATCTTCTGCAACCCCCTGCATTCTAGTGGCTTCACGCCTTGCTCAGGGCGTAATGTTTAAAAAAAATACATTTTCATAGTAAAAATAATACCAGCAATTCATTTTGTACCCGCTCTAAAAATACTACCAATACATTTTTCAAAGAGAAATTATTAATACTACCAAAAAATTAAATTTCGGCATTAAATGACCCATAAAAAATCGATATGCCGCTAATATATCCTTTTTTTGTTGAACTTAGATGGACTACAGTAAATATCCCGTGCAAAATGTCTGATTGGATTGGCTGTGGCCTGACCTTTAACCATATTCCCTAAAACATGACGCAAGCTCCATCTTTGTTCATGATCGTGAGATGTAAATGGTTAGGTACCAATAAAATTGTGCCTTTTTTAATTTTTATTATTAGGCAGCTAAGGAGATTTGGGAGACATTTAAATGCTTAGGACCATTCTCAATCGGCGTGCATCTTAGGATACTCAGGTAACATCTCTGAAAGAGTTTTTGAGTCTTGCTTGCAAATTTTTTGCTTTTAAGAAAACCTGTCAGCGTTTGGTTGCTATGCATATGCGTTGTATATTCTGATCAAATTGTGTGTCGTGATGGTGAATTGGCCTTCGTATATTTGTACGCCAGCTTCACTGTGTTAACGTGTCACTCTCTCAAATAATAACAACAACTGCAGTTATAATAACAATAATTATAGTGATGCAATAATAATACAATAGATAGATAAGGAACTGAGATAGATAGATAGATAGATAGATAGATAGATAGATAGATAGATAGATAGATAGAGATAAGGAATTAATAATACTAACAATACAACAGTGGTGAAATAATAATAATAATAATAATAATAATAATAATAATAATAATAATAACAATACAATAGATAGATAGATAGATAGATAGATAGATAGATAGATAGATAGATAGATAGATAGATAGATGGATAGATAGATAGATAGATAGATAGATAAATTGCCCAGATAGATAGATAGATAGATAGATAGATAAGGAATTAATATTACTAATAATACAATACAATATTGAAATAATAATAATAATAATAATAATAATTATTATTATTATTATTATTATTATTATTATTATTATTTAAAAAATGTGTTA